TGCTGTTAAGGAAGAGGTACCATAATGGGGATATATAGTAAGTAGTAGGATTTCACAAAAAAATAGCTTAAGTTAAGTTCCTTAACAGCAACCCAGCAAGGGAGTATCATCCTTATGTATGTAGGTTTAGGGTTTCGGGTTCTTAGTAGGGAGTAAGGGAATAGACTGTACTAGGGTTTTGGATTAGCAGGGAATAAGGGAATATGTAGGTATGTAGGGGTTACGGCGGGATGATGGAAAGAACATGGAGACGGCTGTATCGTAATTGGGTGTATGTTGGGATTATACTAGGGAATGAGGAGAATAATCCCTATATGATACTTACATAATCCCAAAATTTCCCCTATATAATCCCTATATAATCCCTACATGATCCCTATTCAACCGCCCATCATTCCTATATAATCCCTATACAATCCCAAAACAGTTTATTTCCCATATTCCCTACGAAGCCCACAGGAAGGAAACGGAGTCCGGCAACCCGGAAGTCCAGTGCTCCATCGCAAAAACTACAAATTATCAGGGATTTAGGGATTAGGGTTTAGGGATTTAGGGTTTAGGGATTTAGGGTTTAGGGTTTCTAATGAACTCAGCTCTAAGCCCTGAACCCTGAATAATGTAGTTGCTTTTTATATAGTACATTAGTTTCCATTTCTTCCATTATCTTAAGATAGCCCCATGTACACCCTATTACAAAGTAGTTGTTTCCATCTTTCTTTTCAATTCCCCTGTATGCCCCCCCTGTAGTCCATAAGTCCTTGACACCTTGGGCAGGAAGCACCAGGAGAAGGAGCGCGAAGCCCTGAGATGCCAAAGACGGCAGCTGCAGCAGCGCGAGGCCCAAAGCGCACAACTCTTGACCTGTCACTTCCATACTTTCCCCCTGGGTCCCATGAACTTTGCGAGGCGCGAGAGCGCCAGTTGCAGCGTGAAGAGGCCTAGAGCAAAGAATGCGAACTCATGAACATCAGCCCGCTTGTTCCCCATTTCAGTGCCCTCAGCGGTCCCAAGACGCCCCATGGATCTAGAAACATGATCGTACCCTGCAACGTCCTTGGAGGAGGAGGCAAAGGCTATGAATGCCGCGCGTGAGCTCGCTCGCAGCCTTCGTGAGAAGCGCGAGGCTCCGAGAGCTGGGTTCGTCTTTTGAGGTTGTATACTTCGTATCTGCTCGCCAGCCCACTCAGCTTGAACTGCAGGAGCAGGAAGCTGCAGAGCGCAGGGCAGTTCAGGCACGAGCAAAGCAGGACTGATAGGGGTCAGACGCGGCTCAGCGGACTGCTGATCTTGAATCTTCAGTTAGGGGGATTGTCAAAATTATGGTCCCTTTTTGGGTCCCTATTATAATACGGGGCCTAATACTGGGCCTAATTTAAGGGACCCAAAAAGGGACCATAATTTTGACAATCCCCCAGTTGTTGAGGACTGTGCTCGTGATGAGCATGGCTGGACGCAGGCAGAGTACCAGGCACTCAAGGAGGCACGCGATGGTGGAAGAATCACGGATGCCCCGGCTACTTGCTGCCTTGAATGGAACATTCGCAGGGCCATTCTTGGAGTGAAGCTTCCAACATTTGCAAGAAGCAATATTCTTACTATTCTTAATACTGGTGTCATTACTTTACTACTACTACTACTACTACTACTACTAGGCGTGACGATGCTAATTGATCGCAGGTGTTTGGGTTTTGCAGAGTTGCACGAAAAGTTGCTAAAGTGCTGCGTTTTACAGGACTTCGTGTGC